CAAAAATGATATTTGCATTATCAACAGAATTGGAAGGCAATATTGATTTTAGCCATCGAATTAGCACAAAAAATATCCGGAATGTTATCGTGCATTAGATCCGACGGTCAAGACGACGCAGATAGGCGTAAAAACCAATCATCTTGTACCGGGGTCTAAATTTAGTTGATGCACAGGTCACACTTGGTTAGAAATTGTCGTTCAGACAATGTTCCAAAAGTATAGACCAGAAAGCATTAAATTTGATCTTCAATGAATCGAGCAAATCAAGATAAGCTTGATCCAAGTTAGATAGTAACACAACTCATATCACTGTACTGTATTATTCATTACAAAAGATGTTCTCGCTTCAGACCAAAAAGGAACCGATTGACAGCAAGGAACTAGTGAGGGCCCATTCATTGTGTCGCCCCAAAGCCCAATCCCGACTATACTCCATGAAACTATCTGTTTACAGGGAGTTAATGTGCGAGGTTTTCTTCTAAGTTTCATGTGGACTACCTGTTTCAGTCACTCCTATACATACAGAGGAAAATTCGAGTTAAAGAGTGAATGTAACTACCTTAAACTATTGGTATAATCTCAGCACTGTGTTTCGTAATCCCCACGAACGAGTCGCCATCACCGCCCGGAGCAATAAGTCAGGCACAAAATTGGGCTTGACGACAAGTGGATGGCGGTGGCCAGTGAGTGCCGGTCATGATCTCATCGCCTCGTAGGCGGTGTCAAAATCCTGTTAACATTGTTCAACTTTTTCACTACGAATTGTTCAGTTTCTTTACCTTCAGAGCGTATTGCACACTCTTTTCAATAAGAGGCATTTAAAAAGCTTATCACCATTATTTATATAATCATAGCTATCATAATTATTAGGTGTAGAGTATTTCGCCATGATGAATTGCGGAGGTTGACTTCAGGATTAAGTCGAAACCGCTAGATACAACATACGATGTGAAACATTGCACGTACAGATAAGCACATTTTGATAGCCGGGTAACTATACTCACTACCGAAGCGAGAACCTTACATAAAATAAATCAGAAACTCATTTGGCATTTCTATTAAGTCAACGAGACAGACAATAACCCATGAAAGTTCGAGTGGACAATGTGACCCTCTCTCTCTTACTCGCCACACTGAACATTCAACTGTCTCGTCTAATTGATTCGAATGCACGACGCGCGGGGGGGGGGNGGACATATAAGTAAACGGAATTTGGTGACGACAGGCACAATCACATCGGTCCACAACGTACCCATATACACTGAATGACGAAGACGATCGGGGTCGGGATTGGGTAGGTTAACGGTTGCGGGAGTGGCTGGCGGTTTTTTGATATCACTGGACGTTCCTGAAGTTGTAGTAGTTAGAGCTGAAGAGGTATTGTTGTTGCTGCTGCTGTTTTGTTTGCTACTTGACGAGTCCACGGGATCGGCGGAGGTTGTGGTTTGTTCAGATGCGGCTGTTCCGGGCGCAAATGTGGTGGATGCTTGTGCTTGTTGATGTGCTGAAGGTTTGACGGAAAGTAACGCGTGACGTAATCGATTCGACACCCGGAGGGAACAAGTGGCCACAGAAGGAAGACATAAATCAGCCCGGCGAACCAGTCGCCGCCCCGAACGACTGGATGGGTCCAAGGGATCATAGCTGTAGATGACGCAGTTGCCTCTTTCGTCCACCACTAAAAAGGGGAAAAGGACTCATGCCGTAAATGAAGATAAATGCATGCATGGTGCTATACACATTGCGATAAATATGAATTGAGATTATAGCGGGAAACAACCGAGGTAACAGCAGATGAATTTTGTGAGAAACTTTAGAGCGTAAACAGTGAATGGGAACGAAAGCAGCAAAAAGAACAATGGGAACACAAACATCAACGCCTAATTCACTGAGGCAAGGATCGGGGATTACAGATCAGAGAGAGATGTGTGAGATTCGGAAGTAAGTATATTCACTAACACTCATCAATCTCTAAGAACTATTTCGTAGCCGAGACACAGCATACGGAAAAGAAGCGAGCAGAAGAGGCCAGAATGTAAAACTAATTATTTACTGAGCGTTGCAAACCTTGTTCTAGCAAACCCAGTTCTGTGGTTATGAAAAAATTTAAAAAGTTTACAAAACACTAAACTTTTCGACTGTTAGGCGTTTGTTGAAAAACTTGTCGATCGATTTATACTAATGATGTTGTCGCCGTGGCGATTGCAGTCAACCGATGGAAATCAATGTTATGTCAACAGAATGAGCTGTTCATCACCTTGGCTTTTCCTCGGTGACCCGGTATGCATCAGTTGAGATGCAGCGAAATCGTCCAGGACATAAATTTTGCTGTACTGGTTTCTATCTTCAAGTTTTACAAGGAAAAGCCTGTTTAAGTTTGTTAAACAGCTATGTTTAGTAAATTGGATTATTATATAAGCTCGAATCTAATTAGGGTTGGTAGCAGCTGACCCGACAACAGGTACACATGGTACTGCATTTAAGTCTCGTCATCAAGTGCACACGTACCCAAAAATCCGAGACGACGACCATCCACAAAGAAATTGGCAGTGTACACTTCACGAGCAATACTGTCCCGACTGACCACGGAGAGCACACGTAAATCGGATTGGAATCGCAGAAGTTGTATGGATTTCAGAACATCGGCAGCCAAGACTAAATTTTTCACACAGAGCAAGCTGTGTATGTACAGTTCGGAATCGACGAACGCCACGCCAACTAGTTCTCCATTCTTCAATGTCCAAATGTACACCTTACGGATGGAAATGAGACAGAAAGCAGAGGAGATGATCAGTGGGAGCGAAAACGAACCCTGTATTTCGTCCGTTATAGTAGAAGTCACAGAGGGAGAAAAATCGTAATTGTTGGGATTAATGTTTCACGCCCACCTATACTGAAATGATTGTCCCCAGACTAAGTTTTAAGTTATTTCGCTTTTGCAGTGGTCAGTCCACCAACAGACTTGCAATAAAGGAACAGTGATAGTGGTCTCACCCGGCGAGCTTATTCCCGATTGACCTGTTAGACCAATGATCTAGACTGCTTATTTCAAGCTATTATTTATAGCACCACGTCATATGTAACGTACATACGCTCGTTTTTGTGGTCTGTTCAGACCGTGAGTTTAGACGGCGGTGCATTTTGCCGTTTCGACCTATCGTTTATTTGTACTATCAGACTGTAAGTTAATCACTCACTTGTTACTTCCTTAATCTGTTACTATAACCGCTACAATTACCATCAGATGTACAAAGCTGTATTTATACACCATTGCTACTAAACTGTCAGAACAAGGTGAAAAAGCACTACAGAACTGATCACTCCAGAGCAATCACACTAGGTATTCTTCTTTACGACCGGGAGTAAAACTGTGGAAAGATTCGGCACATAATTTGCGAAGAAAGACGATTTGGCGTGCACAATCATTTTAACTAACATGTAAGCTCCAGTGCTTATACAAATTACACAAGAGAACATGGCACAGAATGCGGAATTTTTCAGCTTCAATGAAATCTCATGGCGGCAGCACAGGTATTCCGTGGTTTTGCGTGCGATCAACTTATTTACTGTACTGCAGTCTTTCGTCACAGCTAGGCCTAAATACAAGGAAGTTTTCCACTACAGACGATGCCATAAGCATACTGCAGATCACACATTCGAAAAATTATCCAAAAGTCGTGGAGGAGTGATAAGGTCGTCAAAATAGCCACCTGGAGGTTCTGAGCTCGAACCCATCTTCGCATTTTCTGTATTTCTTCAGGCCACCCGCGGCCCCCTTCCCGAAAGTTTATTGTATACTTCTAATAGTCAATGAAGAAAAATAAAGTAAAAACATTTATTCATTATCTACATAGGAGATTCTCTAAAATTTCCACTGCAAGAGAATGGAGCAAGAATGGCAAGTCAGGAAGAGATCGCTGTTAGACTGAAAACCTACTTAGCTCGCCATTGACCCTGAATTGATTAACATACTTCTGAGACCTTCGGTTGCGGAGAAGCGAACCGAATAGAACCTTGAAAACGGGTTAAGTGAATATAAGTGAACTTAAAGGACGAATACAACATGTGAATATCAGATTGTCACGGGGTTAACCGCACTAGCAAGTGAAAAAAATGAGTAACGTACAGTTAAGAAAGGTTATCCCCTCCCAGAGTGGATAGCGCGAGCGGACAGTAGTTGAAGTTTTACCACTGTTTAATGAACCATGCATTTGGCACAATTTATCAACACTAAGCGTGAAGGGCAAACCGCAGACGACTACAGTAAGACGTCTGAAGCAGGGTGCGACTTGTGCAGTGTCATTACACACACACACACACACACACACACACACAGAGAGAGAGAGAGAGAGAGGTGAATAAACAATACGACAATCAAATCGTGATGAAAAAGAAACCGGAATTGAAACGAACAGTTGGTTTGTGAGTATCTGAGTGCATGTGATTCGATTGTGATGCATAGTGGAATTTGGGACACGTTCAAACCATGCTTGCTCCGGTAGATCCAAAGTGTTTGATTTTTTCTGTAAGTCCTGTCATTTATCACAAACATACTAGTCGTTTGTTCTGTGAAGCACACCCACAGCAATCCGGGCGTCGTCCAGCGAAAATGGTTCGTAACGAGTCTGTGCTCCGCTATCTCTAATAGGTGGTAACCATTTGTTTCGAAGTTGGGACATGTGACGTTACCACATCCAAGGTCGCGAGTGTACCTCATTTCTCAAAAAAAGTTAGCATTAATGAAATCGGACATGGACGATAAAACCAGATGCACGAGAACACGAGCTATTCGGAAACAACACTGTGCGACTGAATGCTAGCGACGAACACACAGCTGACTTACTTTCTGTCCTATTGCACTGATCAAATGACCCTGGCAACTTGTCATTGCCGTCACTGGTCCTTTCTGTTCGCCGTCGTAGATGGTTTTCAGTTTATGTCGTGTCAAAGGTTGCCCTGGTTCGGGAACAACATCGATCACGTCGAAAATAATGATTCGTCCGCGTACTGGTATTTCTTCACCATACGATAAGTTTGCACCGATGGCTAGGTAGTCTTTCGTGCCGTGAAATGTTTGCTCTGAGGCCAATTGAGCGGTGATTACACAGGTGACCACTTCCCATGGTTCAAATGGAATTCTGCATTGATAAATACAGAACAGGGGAAGGTGTGAGGGTCACGATGGATTAAATGGATGTTAGAAAGCAGAGCAAAACAAAAATTGTGAGCTGAAAAGATTTACGAGAATAAGTGAGATGGCGGGCTTTGCAATGTGACAAAACATCGAAAAAGAGGTGTGAATACAATCAGCAAAGAAGAATAACCGGTACTATGCCAACACGGGCATCACGTAATCAACAAGAATAACACTGGCGATGACATTCATAGACGATTCGACAAAACTTAAGTATTCGAAAGGGATGATTACATGAAAGCACGTGAAGTTTGTAGCTCTGTTGTGAATCTTTCAGTGCAAACTCATGAACCGTCATCATCATCATCATTGCAGTACTCGGCGAAGGCTTTTTTGAGTGAGGCTATTTGAAAACATGCATCAGACATTAAAACCGTACAGTTAATGGTAATGATGATGACTTTGTGGAGACCGGAAGCACAATTATCTCAATCAGAGGTTGAATGCTTATAGCGTAATGAAGAGCTGCCTTAACTGCATCTGAAACACATCTGCAATTATCAAGGGGAATATCGTGGAGCAACATAAGAGACTATTCAATCAGAGAAAGATATCAGTGATGCACAATCTTGTTGTGCTCGGTTGCATGAAAGGCTTTAACCAATAGAGTGAAATACCTGAGAACGATTGATGCAAGTATATATGGACGTAGTCAGCAAGCAGATACAAATATCATCATCATCATGGTACAGTGTAATACAGTGAAGCGAACGTAACTGATCGTTGCTAAAAGCATATTGCACATAAGATAAGTGATAATGTGTAAGGAGGGCAAAGATTGGATCCATTTTTAGAGACGGGAAAAGAAAGCGAACCTCTACGGTCAACACAGAGTAAACAGTTCGACTGTGCATACATACTAGTTCAACCATTCTGGTCTGATACGAAGTTACATGATCACCAATGCTGTCGCATCCAATCCATGACAAAGCCAAACAAGCAAAGTGATATTTGAATTGATCCAAGATACAAATATCATTTTGCTCGTTTGGCTTCGTCATGGATTGGATGCGTCCTCCAACAAGTGACCTAAAGAGATCTACTACGTCAAGTTTTCACTCCTGGGTGTTTTGAAATCTGTGCCGGAGCCCAGCACAATCTTTTCACACTGGTTTGGTCATTTTACCAAGCACGTAAAATACGGTGAAAACAGTGGAACCTGAATACTGACAAAACGTTTTCTATCTATATAATAAAGTGTAGTGTTTTTAACGATGTGTGCGTTTTAGGGATGCACCGAATGCAGCTGCAGACTTCAGGGTTCAGATAAAGACTTATTTAAGGTTTTGTTCCCCATATGTGGTGCCTGAGAGTTTAAGATGTTCATTTTCACCTATTGACCGAACGCGTGCAACATAATTCCCACTTTGGAAATACATTTCAGTTGCCAATATCATATGTGATGAAAGTCCGGGTGTTGGACGAGTTTGATCAATACCTGCAGAGAGTCCCCAATTCCATAAGCAAATCCGCGGGAAATGTAACTGGAGAATATATGGCGAAGCAGCTGACTGAATAACTTTACATGATGATGGACGGATCCCGGATGTTCTCCAAATGGGAATGTTTTGAGTGAATTCCATAAACTGTTTGATTTCGCTTACAAAGCATGTGATAACACAGGAATCATAATAATATCAAAGTAAAACAATCAAACAGACCAAAGTACCCACTGGACAGAAAATACATATCATCCTGTTGAGTATCAATAAATTGACCATCTAAAGTTTATAAGTCAATTTGGCACAAACACAGTCATGAATGTGAGAGGTGATTTCCCGCGTGGAAGAAAAGTGTATCATACGTGCAATTCAGTCGGAATGATTCATCCCAAAAGCATCAACCTACACACACGCAATAAAGAGAACCTATCAGTCATTCTTGAGTAATGAACTACTCCCACATTGAACTGATTCTCACATGCTCCGTGAGAAGAAAGCACAACGTATTTCACCTACCAAAAAAGCTTAAGAACTATGCATTACATGATATATTACAAGTAGGATCAGGGGTTCCATACAATCTGCACCATTTCAGTTCGAGGCAATTGATGTTGTGTGCGTGTGATGTAAGCAAGCGTAGCAATTTACTGTCATTAGCAAAACAACCGGAAGGTCATACGGCACACCACGGTTATATGAACTAAGCGAACAATGTGAAACGGTGACATTTGAAAATAGCGTTCAATGCGAGGAAGAATAAATAAACAGGTACAGCAAGAGGCTGATAACGTACCGCGTGTTTGGTATCGCTTGCCAAGCCTGATCATGCACGGGAGTGACAGTGGGAGCGTACATTTGCAACACATAATGGTCTAGAATAGGTAGAGCACACGTTAGAGGTCGTTGCAGAGCGTCCTCCTCTTTGTTCCCTTCCGCATTCAAACGGTACACAGAACAGCATGCTTCTGAACGCGTACCGACCACAGCGTATGTCTGTGTAGCCAAGTGAGAGAATCGATTTCCTTATACAATTAGCGAGGGTACGATTCCCAACGGAAGAAAACCAGCGAACTGGAAACATTCGAACAACTGAAAAACATGCTCCCGAATAATGTCTGGTTCCAGGACAAGGCGAAATCTATACCCCGATCAAGCTATTTTGTTCACTGGTACCAACTGTGATCGAAAACTTCAAGCAATCTAGGATCAAGTGCGATTGGGGTCCTCAAAGTACATAAAGTATGCTGAAGATTTTAGTAAGTTTGAGAAGATGGTTAAGAACCACTTCGCGCAATTTTGAGAGCGGATGTTGCAAGTCCCCTAAGGAACCGCAGTGAGAAGCCACCGATATCAACTTCTGGAAGATGAGTGCCACGAGGAATTTCCTCGTTCAAATGTGATTCCTAAGATCGACATACTTTAGCATTCACTAAAAGCGCTCTCATATACCGATGTACTGTGAGGATAAAATTCACGAAAAAAACTTGAAATAGGCTACAACTGAATGTGAAGTGTACACTTGCTCAGAACGTATTAGGGAGGTCGAGTCAGTCAACTGACAGGTTTCTAATGTCAGACAATGAAGCACGAATCAGTCTGTTTGAATATAGTCCTCCGAGTGTTATGGAGACCATCAACTACCATTAGACCGTGAGTGTTCGAAATAACAGAACATTGCACTAATAATACTGTCGCTGAACTTGACCCCTATTGATGGAACACGGTAGTGCGCGCGTACGCACACATACACACAGAGGTGCAGTACCACTGTCAGTCGTCCACCATTTTTAAAATACCCTTTATGATCGAATAAAAGCAATGTCTGGCCATCGAGATGTAACTTCATCAGTAAACGAAGTAGTTTTAAGGCTTAAAAGCTGTAAGCGAAAGCTGACATACGGTAGTGAGATGAATCACCTATTAGTTTATCTACAATCTCGCGTTCACGTACGCGCAATATGTGGTGGGGCGTCTTTCGACTGACTTTGCTACAATTTTTCTTCTGGCTGTGGCTAAGAAATCATTTTGCCATTATTCAACAATGCCCGTAACAATCTCATACTCGTAGAATTTATCTCAACAGCTTATTTTCCTGCCTTCTGATCAACAGTACGGAAGACAGGAGTACCACATCTGAAAAAAGTTCCTTCTGTCCTTGATCAGCACGAATATCCGATCATCGTATGGAACAATTAGTCAAACTCTTGCACTGATGCCGGCAAGTGCGTGCTTGATGCATAGGAATATCCGATGGAAGCCGAAATAGAGCAGTTACAGGTCGTTACAATTTTTTCATTTCTAGTCATCCCTATTCGAAGTAGTTCAGCCTCCATACACAATTGCTAGACCAACAAAGCCTATGTATTAGTTCACTGATTTCCTAATTTCAAAACGACGTTCTTTTTACAGAAACCGATCGTACAATGGTATTTTTTCTGTCAGTATTGAGAAAACCGATGAGAGAAACCTGGAGGCGGCTTTGTCACATTCCTTAATACATCATGTCGGGGATTACTTTTGGGGGCGTTCTTGAGAAACTATGTAACGCCAGCTAAATTTGTCATCTTTTCGTTCCATTCTTGTCACACACACTGGTTCACTGCTCCTATCTGCTATCAGTCTGAATTTGCCTAAGTTAGGAATCGCTGTTGTTCATCTCGCTAATGACGGTGTTTATTTAGCACCATTAGCGACTTGCCAAATGAAACATAGGCGTACTTGTTTACAGAAGTCTGTCAATACAATGTATAAGCAATCACATGATATTTGAAATAAACAGTTTCTCTACTAAGACTCTCACATCGTGATTCCCAATATGTTGTCATCGGTCTCCCACAATTTCCAACTGGCGTGTTGGATTCTCTCAACACCAAGTTAGGAGATCTGATTTAACGTTAGACCTCATTTCGGGGCAAATCCCTCTTCTGGAGACGCTAAGGATATGCTCCGAAATGGGTGAATAACAGTATCTAGTTGATCATTAGTTGGAAGATTACCAATAGTAGTTTTTGTGATTGACCTTTGCTGTAGCTCCTACACCAAACTGCCCGATCTAGTTCACTTCGGTACATGAGAATTTGCTGGAAACGTCACTTCTGTTCATTATGCAATACCCAGTAAAACGGCCGCGGTATATTGAAGGCTACGAAATGGAAGTCAGATGACGATGACCAGTTTGGACGTTAGAAATTACAACACGATGGGTTTGCACCGCTTGGTCAGCGCTGTTAAATGTGCAAAAACGAGCCCGCAGAGGAAACGGTGAAAAAATAACCGACAGTACTCGCTCTTCCTATGCAAGCCATTTTTGTTTGTATAATTTTAACATGTGCGTTCCGCACATGACACTGGATTTTTTCTGTTTGTCAGTCCTTGAATAGCAATAGCGTTTCAACTGAATCTCATCTCAGGATGACATGTATCACCGTTTATCAGATGCGGACATCAGATGTACCGATGCAACAAAACTTACGGACAAGTGTCTTTCGTCGCATACGAATCGGATATGCCGAAGGTATTACTGATCACGAAATTCAATGAGGAAGCAGATCCATATGATAAGGAATTTCGCCTTTGAAAAGCGTACCGGGACGATGGGATCAGTTGAATTCTCGTGCTATCAGCACTGAATGCAAAGGGAAGCTGAGTGATTTCCGAACCGATGAACGGTGATCTCACTGTTAAGCCTGTTCAGTTCAGTGAATGACAACTCATCAACTGAGGGGGCATAAACGAAAACGTTAGCTCCCAAATCTTGTCGAGCAAATATCAGTTTTAATTGTCCGAATATAGCATCATTAAAGGTTGTAAAAAAACACAGGGTAGCGAACAAGCTTGTTTGCGGTGATTCTTCGACAGGCCAATACATCATAATTTATATAAAACTATATAGCTGGAGGGAAAATAGTGACAAGTTGGAAAAGAGATAATCAACATTCCAGTTCCATGAACGGATACTGCTCACCCTTTGGTCTTCACAAATGCGCACTGGTTGGGGTCATTAGGGGTGGGTTGGGAGGATGGCTGTGTCGGGCGTGATGTTGGCCATGGAAGACCGAGTGTTCTTACGAATTGTTTTTAGGAGCACATGGGGGTGGGGGATATGGAGGCGGATTCCGATCGCTTTCGCTGTGGCCAGAATGCGACCCCTAATTCTCTTCGATCGAACTAAGTAGAGGGACCGAAACGCCTCGTCCACATTAACCATGTGGCTTGATTCCACTAGGTGAAACGATCGAGCTGTTGATAGTATTAGACACTTCACTTTTCAACCAAGCCGGGACTCGTTCAGGTAAACGTCTGCTCGTGCGGCCAATACATCTTGTCCCACAGGAACAGGTAAATAAGTACACACAGAAAGAGATAGCGGAAACCAGCAATTTATCTTCGAGTTGAAAACACGAAAGTGGCCCGGAGATGAACACAATGCGCAGGTTTGCTGCGCAGAATGCTTTTTCGACAACTGTGCTCAGTTTACGTGTTGCCATCTCTGCAGTTGCGTCACCCTTGAAAGGTAGTGTGATATGTAAACCAGTTTCTCCTCAGCAGTGGTGATCTAATTTGGCAACCGATGACGCCACAAAATGCTGTCCACAAATCATTCAGCCTGCCCCCCTCCCCCCCGGCCCACTATACAGTTTTATATAAGTCGTAATGTATTAGCCTGTAGAAAAATCGCCGCAAACGAGCTTGTTCGCTACTCTGTGTTTTCTTAAAATATCAGTTTCCAAATTAACTTATTTCACCGTTCCAGCTTTCCATTCAATCTTGTGACCAAGCATATAATTATCAGTGTAAATCACGCAACTTGTCAACGAAATGATAAAGGAGTGAGACCGATCGACCAATCAGAGCACTGAGCACCAATAAGCGGTCAATAGAAGTAGTTAATTGATCAAACAAACAACCACACTGGGAAAGTTCTCTCACTTCCGGAGAATCCGTGTGAACATGGGGAACCATCGGTGAAGTCGCTCATCTAAATAAAAAATATCTGGAGATTGATTTTGAGTGCACTAATCAGCAAAAAAAAAACAGAAACGGGAAATAGAACAGCCCCGCCTAGCATCAGTTGTCACGTCCGATACTGACCTTACTCTCAACGTGATACTGAACGAAATAGGGTGACAATTCCAGTGGTATCCAGCGCATGCCCAGATTCTCACAGAATGAATAACCCGGAGGCAGAGTGGCCAGTCGCATTTCGTTCTGATAGGGTAAATGAAACAGAAGGGAATTGGAATTGGAAAAAAATGAGGTCAAAAGGCAACTGTTCGCGTGTTGCGTGACAGATAACGCGCGACACGAGTATCATTGTACAATCGAGAAACGATCGGATTGACGCGTGAAAACTACCTACGGCTCCGCACAGAGCACGAATTGAGGTACGAGACCGCACCGCTAGAACAACTGTGAAAAGATCAATGCGTAAGTTCGAATCTTGAAAAGGTTACTGATACGCTCTCTTACAATCCTAATAATACGATTGCCCAAATTCCAGAACATCTTCACAAACCGATCTTGTTAGAGTATGCAGAGCAATAGAGGGAAAGGATGACAAGCTGTGAAGCAAATAAGGGAGGAGGAATTACCCGAAATTAAATTGTGAATATAACCGGCTTCCACGTTCCACCCTGAAAGTAAACTTCTATTATGGTAAAATTCGGCAATAGAGTTACCAATGATTTCTCAAAAGTGTTTCCGATTAAAAGTAAAACCTACAGAGAGTGAGATCAGTTCTACCCGCCCATCAACCCGCACTAAATGTCCAGTTCATCATCTGTCTTTGTGGAAAATGACACCAAGTCATTCACACAGTTAGTGAATGATTTTTGCTTCAAACGTATGATTGTACAGATAAATACTTCGACCATCATCAGTATGTTGGTGGTCCTTATGCAATTGCGTCATCTGTGCCACTGGTCTGGATTTTTCCTTGCCGTTCTCAGTCGCGGGTCGTAAATCATCTGTGATTATAATGGTGCCCGAATTCCGTTTTGAGAAAAGTAATATAACGAAGCATCATGCCCCTGTTCGTTAACGTTTCCGGAAGAAAAATACACAAACTCGTTTTGAATAGTTTTTTTTGAGTGACCCGTCTTTCGTAGATTACACACACTTTGGTATTACAAGGAGTGAACGCGGTCACCGACATAAATGAGCCAGTGCGGATCCACCTATCAACTGTGATTACAGCAAAGTCGAGATTGGCCTTTTTCACTGAGCTGATCATTCATACCATAGAAAAGTCAGGTGACATGTTTATGGTGTTTAACAGTCTTTGCATTAGACACAATCGGAAATCCAGTCACAAAGAGCCGTTTGGAAGTAGAGTTTAAAAACAACTCAACAATGCACGAGTGAAACATCCATCTTCCGTGGTCATGTGAAGGAACTCACCGAATATGTGAAATAGACAAATCCTGACGGACAGATTGTGGTGTTTAGCGGAGCAAAGCTTCCCATGATTCCGTCGATTGCGTGAGGGAATACACGAATCTGGCCGGTGTCCGTGCCGAAAAGCCACATGGGACAGGCACCACACACGAACACACCCCGATGACCACCAATGTTCTCAAACGGGCGAAGCATGTGTGTGCGATTCAGCAGAGTGGACTGTATGGGTTNATGGGTTCAATGAGAGGGGAGAAACGAAAGCCGTGGACAACGTTTTTTGAAAGATGCAGGTAATGGAGTCTCTGAGATCAGAAAATATGCGGGATGCTTTAAACAGAGCCAAAAAGTCAGGCAGGTACCTGTTTTCCATTAATCTACTTCAAAGTCTGAACACACGGATATATTAGAAACGACTGTGTGAGGATACGTGTCAATTGTAACACGTTATGCTCCAGTCCATGTAAGTACAACGAAACAAAGAGATAAACAGGTTGGGTTTAGAACCAAAAGAGCCAGAAATTGCGGTCATTTATTAACACAAAGAACAGTATCAGGAACGTGCGTATGCATGAGTAAATCTCTACTTGATTAGACATAGTTACGTTAGGTATACGATTTAGGCGTCAACAGGTGAATCCTAACGAACACAGCTGTCACCGGTGTTCGAAACTTAACAAGTATTGCATTTGGAGTAGGAACCTTGTGTGCTACCGTCAAAACTGAACGATTAGTATTTGCCATGGACCTGGAGTGGAATAGTTAGCAAAATTCACGTGTCATCATAGTTCGCTAATTTGTGTGATACATCATAGTCGGTCTTTGAAGCAATAAAATTTGATGACTGAATCATACATTTCGATAAACTAGTTCTCTCACAAATGAAATTTGCAAGTTTGAGAAAAATTTCAAACTAATCAAGGATTCTGAGAAGTTCTCACGCATACAAAGAAACGGAGTGAAGTGGTGCAACACATGAGAATCAGATCGTGGCGCACTACAAATAGATAATAGTATTTCGGGACTGCGCGTTCGACCATGGTAGACATTTCCTTCAAACTCACATTAGGGTAGCTATTTGATCAAGATAGGTCTACAATACATCTCACATATACGGGAACCAACATCCATCCGCAAGGCAACGGCGGAAAGCAGACTACGCGCTGTTTACCTAAGCACATTGAGGTGAAAAAGCTTTTAATGGAGACAAACTATGCAAACCATAGCAATGTTCCATTTTGTACTTGTGCGTGTTGCCAAACTAGCCAAGCTACCGATTCCAATAGACCGTTTGATTAAACTCAGCCTTGAAAACACGCGCAACAGGAATGAATAGGCTGTATGTATGATGTACACGATTAAAGCCGATAGTCTGTGGCTCCATGAAGTTAATTGCACACCAAACCGGTGGTATACAACTCCGCTATCGCCCGGTTTGAAACCACGCCCAATAATATGGTACACTACTGAGAGTTCTCTTGTTGATAGTTTCTATAATAAACAACCATTCTACTGCTTAGCACACAATGGTGGTTCTAGCCTTGCTCTTAAGCGTGAATCAATTAGGGTCTGAAGTGGACTGCCAGAATTGCAGCCTCGATCTAACTGTTGGAAATGATGACACCAAATTCATTTACTCCCGGTGGAGTTACATATGCTTTTTTGTTGATGCGGACACCAAATGTTTACTGTTGCCACGGCGAGCGGTGCTTTCCGAGGCAGGTTGCACGTGGAATAAAGCCAAGAGAGGTCAAGACCTGGTATGGGGGTGTGAAATCCCTAACCAGGAGTCTGAGTCACATAGGTTCCGTTGGGCTCCCTGGCTGGGGACCTCGGGATGATCGTAACCGATGGTTACAGACACTAAGTTATATGGCTGAGTGTCGTAAACAGTGGCGCTTGTGCATCTTCTCAATTTTTCTGCATCATTAGTCCACTGAACTTTTCAATTATCTCTTCGATCCTACCTTCAACCGTCCTGTTTACCTCCTATTGTTACCCAAATGGGCAGCCAAAAAAGTCGCATGGAAACGCATGCTTAAAGGTTGTATAAACTGAAACGTTTACTGTCGAGCACAATAGCGCATCCAACTTCACGGGAATGTTTTCAACATTCGGGAAGAAAAACTACACAAACCAGTAACCATGATCCTAGTGCCATTTCGTTTCCGATCTCGAAACATTATCGGGATTAAAATTTAACATTTTGCCTTGATAGGTACATTTAATGATTAATTTGGTTGAACATTTTCACCGTGATAGCTGAGCTTCTATTTTAAAGATACTCCGACAAAACCAATCCTCTGTGAAATTGAAAGACACACTGAACTTACATGAACATCGGCAACTTTTGGATCAGTGCGAACTCGCCTAGGAGCCACCAATGAGCATGGAATGGGTAGGCGACGCCAGCGAAGTCCCTCTTCAATCCAACACTCGCCGGCCAACGGATGTGCTTCACTCGGGGTCGGACATAGTGCTTCGAAGAACGCCACTTCTTGGCTCGTACGNTTGGCTCGTACGAGCCTGAACAAGCGGTTAGGAGGAAAGCAAATGAGACTGCGTTGTGAGTGGAATTCTCAAACAGAATACATAAAGCTTAATGAAAATATACTGCTGTAATAAACATTGTGCAGACGAGGAGGGGGGGGGCGGAATATACATGTAAAGACCCTACACCCCGTAGCAAACAGTGATTTTTAAGCATCCGGAAATAAGAAAACGATTCGTGTTCAATGCTGAAAGGCAGATATTGTAGTCCGTAGATCTATCGACTGAGATACATCCGAGCTGCTTTGACCGTTCAGTCCAGTCGAGGCAGACAAAAGAATAGATCACAAAATAATACACAACACAACTCAAGTTGTCCACAATCGGGATCGACCGTTCTTCAGTCGATTTGCTCAATCGAATGAAGAAAATGAACAACCGCAACGGGGAAGCAGGGAGACATAGAATGATCGACTACCAAGACTGTGAAGTACGCGTATGAACAACATTCGAACAAGTGAGAACTGAATTACTGTAAATTGGATTTGGATCAAAATTTTGGAGGAAGATTTATGGAAGAAGACATGACCGAAATGCACACTGCAACAGACGAGACTGCACCAAATTTTCAAAATGATATAATAAATAGGACAGCCGTACCGATTTTTTCCGACAGCCTAAGTAGACGCATGCTTCAAACAGATCACGAGGATATAAACGGTGTTCCTGTTAAAAATAGTCATTACATTATTTTGAAGTGCACACGGAAGGGCGGATTCAGGCTGTTTGCGGTGAAAACGAGCAAGAGCAGCGCAATACACACATACGGAAAGGGGCATACAAGACCGAATTTTCATCACTATTGTGTTGCTTAGCATACATGATCAAATCTGTTTTTATATTTCACCCGGAACCTATTATAAAGGAGGACAGAAGGCTGCTGTGCTCACAATTGAAGTTATCTCAGCCTGTTGTGAGACTTTTGCGCTAATGAGTGAGCTCTCGGCCTCCGTGTGTACCCCGTAGGGCAATACTCGGGAATCCGTTCGAACAAACGCTCAATCATGCGGCTTACAAAAACAAATATACACAGAAGAAGACTACAGAATTTGGTACTTTGTATCTTAACGGGAAACACCACTGTCGTGAACATGAGTAGAAACTTTGCAACCTGAAAGGTTTTATGAAACACGATTGAAAAACTCTCCTATGCGACAACTGTGATTTATTCTTGACGTCCATCCTTCCGATGCCGTCAGCATAGTATTTCATCGTGTTACTGACCGACTGCTCCGGATAGGCGTTGGGTGCGAACAGTGTACTTAGAAGACGGGGTTACCCCCTTATCGTGTTCTCGCTAGGCAGCGAAGGACTAAATTCAGACATATAAACCAATGAACGTCAGGAGTTCAAATGACGACAGTGGACGCCTTACTTGCAATGTGTGCGCATCTACAAGGTTGACCAAAATGGCATGTTTTGTGGAAAAGGTGTTTTGGGAATGGGGGATGAATGAACAAATAGGGGATGGGTGCACAAAAAGGAAACAAATCAGTGTACTGTGTGTGTGTGATAATGAGGAGTGGAAAACTATGGGTATACAAAAAGAACGAAAACGGTCGATGTGCTTCGTTATCTACGAAAAAAAATGCAACTTAATGTAACAGAGCTAACTGTTCCTGGCTCAGAAAGTAACAGAGAAAGGAAAGAATATAACCCACAAACTGTTTCGTTTAGTTGTACACCCACGCTACTTTGCAAGATCCGCTTTTGGGATGGGAACAAAAAAATCGATTTTGTCCGGAGGATATTTGCTTGAATTCTAATAACGTCACTACTTCACTTGCTCAGTTACTGGCATCTCAATATGATCTTTGAGGGAATGCTTCTCTATATGTGCGGTAAAATGGATTGTTATCAATGTTTTCAATCTTCATTATCTGCGATTAAACGAGTGAATGAATATTTCGGATTTCAGTCCAGGGATTTTCACTTGCATGGAAGTAGGCAAAAATGTAGGCATCCTATACATAGTATGTGGTATGAGTTTTGACCCTTGCAGTGTTTCAATCTAATACACAATGAAATTTCNGAGCCGTTAAAACACCCATTTGGATATGAATGGAATTTGGTCATTCTTGTTATTGCGGCCATTAATTCAAGGATACGGAGTCATATCTAAAAATTCAAAATACAGGTTCTCGTTTTCTGAAGTAGCTTCTGATGCATAAAACATGCATGCATACAGACAGCTCTATATATATGCGTGATCACCCAGGCGTTTACACGGTGGTATATTCTGGGGACAGCATCCGGGAATTAATTGATACACATAAGAGAATTTCTCCAGGCCTGGCACTCTTTGATCACCATAGTAAACAAGCACATCGACCTGGATCGGGTGTACACGTCAATGCAACTCAAAGATCGATTGATATCACGTCGTGACCCTAGAAGGAACCTGAAAACCGTAACCGAGACAGATGACCCCTGCCTTTCCTAAGTGCCACTTCTACAGCAAACTATATTTTAAACAACAGGAACAAGAGATAAAAATATTAGCAGGAGAAGAACCTTCATAAGTGAACGGATTAAACGTTTGCGGACAAATTGCCAAGTACGGCGAACATTTAAAAAGTCACCGTACGGTTTTCCATACATTGCTCAACCGCTATGTGTTGATCTCCTGACGAACTGCTGGGACTGCGGAACAGACTGATAGAGAATCATGCAGAGAACCACAGGTCCTGGCCAAGAACGTCTAAACCAGTGCATCGATCGCAAAAAACGACTTGCATGAGGGTCAATGAGTAGTATAAGCTTGAAAATCGAACACAGGACGCATCCCCGCCTAAGCTTAGAGAATTGGATGGATTTTAAAGGAAAGCAAACATGCCACAGAAGAAGTGGAAATTCAATCAATAATTTGGCGCAAACAACCGGACCCGTTTTTGGCGTCTGCAGGATATGGATGATTAAATCGAACGAATTATCATACTCAGATCAACAATGAGCGAACGACAGAGAAAGATCTGTAAGAAGAAGCCCGGACACATACCACAAGCACTGGACGATCAAGGTTGCGACCGATTGGAAAGACGGTGATTTCCAGGACAGTCGGAGGCATGGTCTCTTCCTCTGAAGCCGCANCTGTACGTGGCGGGGCGGGGGGCGGGCGGGGCGAGGAATACGATAAGATTTTCAAATGATTTAGAAAAATTTATTTATAAGTTTTAGGTGAACACAAAGTTGCAGGTTATGTGTGGACGACAAATGAAGCGAATAATCGATGAAAGTAACTGAGAAATGTTTGAACTACATGCGTACAGTGCTCGTGTTCTGAAAAAAAGGTATAGTTGACACAGTAGTTTATCAAAGATTTAACTGAACGAATAAAGGTGCGGGTGGGGGGAGGGTACGAATCAACTAAACAGTTGGATTGAAAAGAGTATTTACCGAGTCCCACTTGATTGTACTGACCGTCCGGTCACGCATATGATCGCATTCACCATGAGAAAATGAAATCATGAAGAAGAAAAACGTTCGAATAGTAGGAACAGGCTGATCAACCGAATGTATTGCTTGAATGGAATTCATATAACTTGCACTATTGTGATATGAAAATGTTTTGGTGACAGGAATCGGTTTCAGTTATGGGCGCGTGAAGTGGCCTAATTCAAGATGGTATCAATCAAGACGGGAAATCATCGAAAGTGAAGCAAATTTATTAGGATACATAGAGCAATAGTGATCGAAAGTGGCATATCCACAAATGGATTTCGCTTTGTGACGACAGTTGAAGTCAAAGCGTATGTATCTAAACCTACTGTGACGAGTCACCATTCCCTGATGTTAGTTTTTGTTTTTACTGTCATTACTATTCTCCCTCGACTGAACTGTCTGCACACTCTATCAAAAACTAGTTTACACCAACATGAACAGCTATGTTGCACTCTCAAATCAAAAACACAACCAAATCACTGACTGAATAAAAAGCAATGGCTAACCGAATCACAGTGAGGGAAATGTTTGTTTTCGGTTCAGGATTGTCGTCCACAGTTTGGTAAACCATTTTACAACAGACCAAGTTAAGTGCTTGTCTGCAGGGTTGGGAGGGATAGATAGTAAGAATGAGAAAAACATGGATGTTTTAAGCTAGTCTGGCCAACCTTCAATGACCCTATTGTTGTTCTTTACGCGCGCACACACACACAACATGAGTGCTCATCTTCGGTTCTGTTGTGTAACAATTAGCCGGAGTTTACCGTACTCGAGCATGGTGAGAATAGACTACTACGTGTGGAATGTGGTAATGAGATTTCAAAATCAGGGAGTCAATGTACGCATTAAATTCGGAGAAACATGTGACCGTAACAGGCCATATTCTGACCATCAACATTGTCCGTTTTTGGCTTGGTGGTGCGCAGAATGGTGTGAGTGCAAAATACAAGTTCATGAGTGTTAATGTTGTGCTAGTTGCTGTTGTTGCCTTACTCGTAATCTATGCAAGAGAAGATGTCAATCGTGTTAGACACACATACAGGCAGACAGAAACATGCGCAATCAACCTGATTTGGGCTCAGGGTGAATTGGAGAAATTAAAGGAATTTCTAACTCTAGACACTTTCATCAGAAAAACAACAACATATTCAGCACTGAGATCGATCGATGCATCTGCAAAACCGGACAAGAACACAGTCTCCATTCAGTTGAACAATCAAACAAATGGGCGAATGTGTTTGAAAAAGGGAGTCTGATGGGAATATTTAGTTCACATATCTAAGGATAGTGTGTGTGTCATGTGAGTGGTAGTTATTAGAGGAACATTCGGAGTGACGAAAGAAAAGAAATGCAAAAAGAAAAAGTTCACATACGACTGACAATTATTCTAAATAATACTTGAAAGAACATGCCGAAGAATAATCACATTTCATGAATTGAGGGAAAGTGAGAAAAAACACGCGTCTAACGCTCACCGGGAAAAGCCGATTACAGTATCGCTAAATGTGTGCTTGCGTCTAGTTTACAATCTGCAA